AATTTGGGGTGCCAAAATTAATTTGGGATTTGGAACTTTTTGACCCTCGGGTCCCAAATAATTTTGGCATATTTTGGTAGCCATAATGCCAAAATAATTTGGGATTCGGGCGGCAGGTATAGGCTGAAGTATCAAATATCAAGCATACGAATTTTGAAGTAGTCACCACTTCTCGAAATCTTACTCCTGAGGAAGCTGAAATTCTTAAACTCAATTCAGAATGTTCAGTTGTAGATACTATAGTACTTAAGCATTTTTATATGTGAAATCTTTATGGTGGAAATAATATGAGTATTGAGGATTGGAATAAACTCTGCGATAAAGATTTTGTAGAACATTTTAGTCCACCTGAACTTAGAAAACATTTCTTGCATTTATCGCATTTTTGCAAGCAAGGTTATGACGAAGACAATGCAATAGAAGAATTAAAGGCCAAAGATCTTGCACAATGGAAAGATACATGCTATAATGCTAAAGATAATTTTGAGAATTCAGTAGTAAAAGACTTACGCAAAACATATTCAGCGAATCATTGGGAAGCTGTACGAGGACTTTTACAGTCACTTGGTTTTACGGATATGGACGATAAGCATATTCTCTCTGATGATTAGGTAAAAGTTGCGTTTGAAGCATCTCGTGAAAAATTTATAGAAATTCAAAGTCAAGCTTTATTACTCTTTGGCTTTAGGTCTCGTGCAAAAGAAATGCCAGATCTTAAATCAGCTGTAAAGGCAATCAATGCAATTGTTAGCAATTGGTACGGTTATACTATAAAAAGCGAACAAAAATTGGTAGGACCTAAAGAAAAAAGAATTTGGAAATATTCATATCAAATTAACCGAAAGCTATATAATAGTCGTGGTTTTGATAATCAAGAAGAAGTAATGGCTAGGAAGTTAGATAATTCTGAATACTGCCCTATAGTTCTAGTTCTTCTATCATATAAGTCAAAGGTAAGTGATGAGATTCAGGACTTTTTCGATTCTATACCTATTACTAACAATACTACTTTAGAATATGCTGAG